CGATAATAAACTACAGAAAAGAACTTTATGGGAAAGCCCACATTTCTGAGCCAGAATAAAGAAGAAGAGACACCAAAGGAGACTGAGGAAAGGGGTGTAAGAGAGATAAGAAGAAAATCAGGAACAAAGAACATTCAAATAAGATTTTCAAAAAAGAAAGGTGACGAATAGTGTCAAATGTAACAAAAAGCAAGGAAGGTAAGAATGAAAAAAAAAAAAAAACAAAACCCACTGAGATAAGTGATTAGGGGGCCACACCTTAAGAAGGTAGTTTCTGGTGAATGCCAGGGATAGAGATTTCATTACAAATAGTTAAGAAATGAGAGGATAATGAAGTGGAGGCATTAAGAGGAAAGCTATTATTTCCATACTTCCATATTTAGCTTATATTGAGCTTTGGATATGGTATAGTGTCCAGAAGAAAAGATGTCAACCTCAGGTCTTTCTTTAGGCTCTGAATTCTCCATTTTAAAATAAATCAGGAAAAGTAAAGAATAGGATAGCCTCATCACAGTAATTCAAATCTGTTTCACTTATTAAATCAATTTTTGTGGAAAGTGGGCACCAAATATTTTCAACCAACTTTCAACATAAATCACATGGATATCACATTACTATGGAATGAAATGGTATGATTACTGAAACCATAATTTACAGTCAAGCCTTGGGGCTGCATGGTTGAAGGAGAAATAAGGCTTCTGGAGATGCTAGAGCACATTTGCATAAAAGAAAACATTTGTAATAATTATCTAAGATAAGAACAGTATTTGCATTGTCTGAAGCATAGTACATGTATAGTATAGGTATACAAAATAATATTAGTATGTACTTAAATTCCATTAGTATGAGCTTTGTTTTCAGGTTATGTTCATATTTTGAGATACATTTTTTTCACAGAAAACTGTGCCCAAATAAAGAATGTCCAAAAGTCTTAGTGCAGGTTTAAGTCATTAAGGCTTACACTCCATATAATAAGTTTCACCATCCAACTTCAGTAGTAATTTTTCAGTTAGCAGATAAGTCTAGGAAAATAAAAAAGTACAGAAGAATAGAATGTCATTTGGCAATTTAAGAAACATTCCACTTTTTACACAGTTCCCTACAGTTGCCAAATTGTCCCTAAATATATAATCCCTCAAAGACCAATTTTACAGCTGAAGAGGCTAGAGAGACAACCTCTTACAATTTTAGTGAAGTTTTATGTTAATTTGAAGGTGACATTTACATTGAACCTAACAAAGATCACTTATTTCAAGTGGGGGAGTGTTTAATACTTCAATAATTTTATCATTTTGCTCA